TTGTTCTAGGTATTGATTGGGGTAACAGTCACTACAAAGTTGAATCCTCCTGATGGTTGAAAATACAAGATACCTTGAGATGCCAGGGCAGTGATTGACAAAGGCAGAGGAATGAAAATTTTTGTTGGTCTTGCTCTGCCACACACACCCAGCAGAGACAGGAAGCCTTTTTTTGTAGGATTTTTTGTAGGAATGGTTTTAATTGATAGATGTCTATGAGTATTCCACAGCAAGCTACCACAGATTTAAAGTGTTGGTACATCGATATCTGAAAGGCAGCTGTGGGCCTTTTCCTGGAAGCCAAGCTAAGTAATATTCCGGCTAATTTGTTGACCATTATTTCGCAGCTTTTTCTCATGATTTGTTATATAGCAATAAAAGTGATTTCTGATCCTGATGATTCCTGGCGCTATCTTCGAATTCCACCCGTGGAATGCTTCAAGATTTTTTTTTAATTTAAACAACTTTTTACATTATCGATTAAATTGAAGTATAAACTATAGGTTGATACCCCGTTTTGTTACATGAATGGAATTTTCCAACCCTCCTTCAGCCGTTCCCGGGTGTCAAATATCGACTGTTCATCGACCCATAGTTTGGTTAAGCTGATTACCTCTTGTAGCGCTGTTTGTTATTTGCTTGACATCTTCCTCAACTTGTAAGATTCGGGTAGCAAGGTTGCGCACTTGTGAATCAAGTGTTGGTAGGGAGCCCTCCATCGATAGTGCATCCATGACAGCGTCTTGAAATCGCTTAAAGTTAGGAGGCGGGCCACCAGCTGAAATGACGTCGAGGACAGCGGATTGGAATCGACTGGAGTGGCGAAGCTTAGAGATAACGTAAGTGAACGCCCGATCATGGGTAGTGACAGGATCATAAGAGTGGGGCATCGGCAACTCTTGGGCACGATGCTGACTCGGGGCCCCTCTCTCTTGAATCGTTCCGGACACAGTTGTCACGCCAGAAGTGGAAACTGGATTTGGTATCGACATTGGTGTTGTTGTTGGTCCAGTAAGAGGTGACATAGATTTATTCGGGCTGCCAGGGGGTTGAGAAGTCTGGTGAATCGGCTTGGAACTTTGAAGTGTTGTTGACCATGATTGAAGTTTCTCTATTTGTGATTCATTCTTTTCACAACGAATCGTGAGATCTTCCAAAGCTCCAACATTAAGTTTCTTGAAATGGTTGAGTTCGTTCCGAAATGATGAATTGATTTCTTCTAGTTTTCGAGCCGTGTGGTCTTGCTGTTTAATTTGCCACTGATGAAATTTTTCCCCCTGAGTTGTCAACTCATTGGCTAAATATTGACCTTTGAGATTCAATTGAGTCACTTCTGCCTGTAGTTCTTGTACCCTCATCTCAAGTTGTTGGCAAGACGCCTTTGATTCGGACATTTCATTCTTCGCAACAGTCAAAACATTAGCTATGTGCTAAAGATTTTGCGAACGATTGCGATTCAACTTAAAGAACATAGGGCATCAACTCACTTCCAGAGCTCGTAAACGATCTGATGTACTACAATCCGACGACAGTTGAACCGAGGCTGATTGGCAAGCATGCACGATATCACGAAACATATGTGCTGATTGTATGCGCGAGGCATGTTCAAGGGTCTCGGCAGTTTTGAGTATGATGGGATGTAGTTTGTCGTGGGTATTTGAGTATCGTTGACACTTGGCTTGATAATCATCGCGTAAAGTTGGGTTTCTAGGGTTTTCAAGATGTTTCTCTTTTGCTGATTCGAGTAGGATGCCATGGTGTCGAATGTCGACCATGTGTGGGACTCCTTCGAAGTACAATTTGCTTTAGAGAAGTTTTGATGTCAATCACTAATCCGCCGGGTTGGTATCAAGAGCTCAGTCGACTTACCTGACAGCATCGTAAAAGATTTGCAAACATATCTGATTAGGTGGAATGTTGTTGAAAAACTTTTCAACTGGAAACTCAGCCAGGTTAAGTTCCATGGTGATGAAGCTGATTGATGATAATTAAAGTAGTATGATATTGCAAGAAGATTCAAAAAGTGAAGTGCTCAAATCGAATTTAGTGTTAAAAAGGAAATTAAGTTGAATTCGAGTGTACTAAATCGAAAAAAGGCATTCACTGTGACTACAAAAGGTGTCGATTGGAAAAAGGTATCGATAGGTTTGATTTATATACATATCTTCAGTCTTGTTTTGACATATTTGCACAACCTCGAGATACATACTCAGTTGTGAAGTTTTAGCCGAAAACGGACAAAATCTGATTCAAACCAACTCATGAAACTCATAGCAACTTACAATCAACTTTTTTTACGTCTTTTTCATTGATCACTATCATTCGATTCTCGTCGGAATTAGCTACCGTCTCGGCTGCCACGCTGTCAAGACTTCCTTATTCAGTATCACCATATTGGGCTTGGTCACCTCGATCACGAACTTCAAAAAAGCTTTTCGCATACTCAATGTTCTCACTTCCGCGTCTACCAATCGACGAAAAAGATGAAGATCATAACGCGAGTGCTATTGCTTTGAAGGCTTCGTTTCCAAAGACCGTTGGCTCTCGACAAGACGCTACTGGAAGCACGGATGATAAGGTTTTTTCACCTGTCTCCACCTCTAAAATTGGACGTCGACAATGGAATGAGGAAATCGATGATCCTTGGCAATACAATGCATGGTTCGTTGGAAATAGTAACAGCTTTTCTTGAATTCGACTCAAGCTTACCATCTCGATCTTTCTAATTTAGGGACAATGTGGCTTGGGATGAGGAACAGCAAAAATACGCAGATGATCTTGTAGCTAAGCAAGTGGCCAGTCCTGTGTCTGATGAATTACAAGGTTAGTTTCTCTTCTCAATTGAAATCTACCAAAAACTCGGCTCATGTTAGCAAAAACGTAGAAAAGTTCAATTCGGCCCCAGCAGATTATTGGGATACTTTTTATCTAAGTAGGAAAGATACCTTTTTCAAGGATCGAGCATGGTTGAGGAACGAGTTTCCATCTCTGGCAGATGTAGTGAAGCCTAACGTATGTGGGTCTTTTGGAAGTCTTGTGCTATAATTTGGCTCAACTCACATTCCTCTTTGCAGAGTGGACCAGTCCGTATCGCCGAAATAGGGTGTGGGGTAAGTTGGTCATCATACCCATTAATCAAACACATACATCAAAATCCTGAAGATTGTTGCTCCTCGATTCATGAAGCCCGGCAATACGACTTATCCGATCTTGGCAGCCAATGAGAATTCAGAATTGATGATCTACTCTTTGGACTACTCGAAAAAGGCAATTGAGGTCTTAAAGGTGAGTTTCTTTTGTTTTGGGTTGAGCTTCAACTTGACTTTTCTGATCAACCTGAGATCAGGAAAATCCTGCATACGATCCGTCCCGTTGCACTGGGATTGTATGGGATATGAGCTCGACTGAGCTACCGCCTTCAATTGTGCCGGGATCACTGGATATAGCTATCATGATCTTTTGCTTCAGTGCCCTACATCCGGATGAATGGGCCCAAACTGTTCGAAACGTCTATACCGTAAGTGGGGTACCCTAATAGACCATGTCTTCGACCCGTCTTTATCTGCAAGTGTCACCCTGCCGCTCACAGATGTCGGACTTTTTGTTCAAGCCTCGAAAAGATGCTGAAACCTGGTGGAAGGGTATTGTTTCGTGATTATGCTCGGTACGACCTCACTCAACTAAGGATGAAAGGCTCTCGTTACATGCAGGATAACCTATATATCAGAGGCGATGGTACTCGGGTTTACTTCTTCCATAAGGGTTTGTTTTGCTCCAATGTATAAATTTTGCCACTCTACCACTAACTGATCTTCTATGTCACAGATGAACTTGTCAATATATTTTGCGATCAGCCCGCGGCTTCTACCGAAGATTCGGTCCTTGATTCATCGGCTCAGGTCTCTCAGGAAGCTACTGATAAAAGTGAGAAGTTTGAATTGATCAGAATGACCCTCGACCGGCGTCTCCTCCTGAATAGAGCGCGAAAATTGAAAATGTATAGAATGTGGTTACAGGTATGTACCGACACTTTCTTACATGCGAAATCCTTCTGAGTTTGTTGCGATCACTTTCCAGGGTGAATTTCTTAAGCCTTTAGAAGTCGCTGTATCCACTGAGTAGGTCAACCATCTACCATATAGAGTTTGTAAAATTGTAACCAAATTAGCCACTTGTCTTCAATTAGTACCATCATCTTAACACTCATGATGCCTTTCCAAGGAAACAACTTACAACCCAGTCAACATGACTTCCTCTCGAACCGCTCCTGCTAAGGGCTGGGTGTTAAGTTACAGGACCCTTACTTTGAACACATCCAGAGACCAGATTGACACTAGTCAATGTTTGTATGGAGTTAATGATTTGGAACAAAATGCAGGGCATCTGTCTATCAGTTAGAGCACATTCTAGTCCAAAACATAAGCAAAAAATATCAAAAAAAAACTTTCATTCATGAGCCTGTTATATGCAGGTCTGAAAGCTCAACATCAGAGAACATATAGCTTTGTGTGCTCTCTAAGCCTCAATTTGAACCCATGAGGCATAAGAAGATTCGTGCGTCTAGTGGTGACTCGTATATCTCAGTAAGCCGAACCTTGTCATTGGCCTTGGTTAAGTTTGTATTTATATGTACTCCAAAAGGCACATCTCACCACTTTTTTGATATCTAATGACCTGAGGCTGGGGATAAGTTGAGAGCAGGAACACTTTGAACCATAGAGCTTATTCAAACTGGAATACTACACATGATGAACAGAATTCATACACAGTTCTTTAACATGAGATGATGTCAATACTTTCATGGAACATATTCAACACACAGGAGATCATATATGTTTGCCCAAATCCACACCAGACTCATTGTATCCTGATATGCCTCACAGACCTGCATAAACATTATGGAGGTTGCATTGAAAGGTTGGACCAGAGATGACGTTCCAAAGAAAGTAGTGTAGTGGAGGTTAAGAATCATAGAAGATGTAACTATCACACATGCTGATATTCTAGCAGATTTAGAGGTAGTAGTGACTTGAACTTCAACACAGAAGCAGATTCCAGTGGTCAACTGACGGGCCAAAGAATTGAATCATCATCAAGCCAAGTCCAGAAAGTTTAGGTAGATTGCAGGCATCATATCAAAGAGCTTGTTTGACACTTGATTGAGATCATTGTGTTATGAGAGAAGTCTAAATGACACCCAAAATATTCACATTGTGATTCATTATCAAGGTACAATAAGACTTGTTAAGAGTTTGAAGAGCAAAGCAGTTTCCTTCTTTTAATGAAAGACATTTACAAGATCTAAGCAGAGCCCGCCCTTGATGCTTGATATCGTTTACAAACGCGATATTTGAAGCATGGTATTCATTTCTACCAGCAAGTTCAACGGACCACGCGAGAATGAAATCATAGACACTACATAAAATTTCGCGCATAACATACATCAAGCAAGATCAGAATGTGTATTTTAGAATAACAACAATTATGAAGGGTATGAGATTGGAATGTATGCAAGAAGATCAGAGCCATGATGATTTTGATCATGATGAGCATGATCTTAGGACCTAGAGAGAACAAACTATGAAGGATGATAGGACAAGATATAAACAAAGTGAGAGCATGAGATAGATGTTACAAAGGTTCTGTTTTCGAAGATTCTCGCGTGAAGATTGATCGAAGATGTTTGAATGGGACCTGTGCGGCATGCAAGATGGAAATCAATATCGAGTTTGATTATGGAGAAAGTCATTTGGAACACCAACATTTGCTAGAACGGGTTCCGAACCACCGCCAAGCCTTAGACCATAGGTTTACTGATCGTCTTCTGCATCTTCGGTTGAGACATCCTCCGGGGTATCATCAAACTCGTATTCTTCAGCTTCAGGCTGAGGATAAGGGGTAGCTTTCCGTCTATCGATCTTCCAACCCTTGATGCCATCCAACTTTGAATTTTGATTAGATAACGCCAAGTCCTTCAAGAATAACCCTCCTGGAGGCTCAGCAGGACTGATTGGACCGATTCGAGGGCTCGTTTGTTGCACAAACTTGGTCTTGATAGATGGAGCCGAAGAAGGAGTCGAAGTGAGGATCACAGTAGTTGGTTTATCTGAATGATTTTGTACAATTTCTACTAATGATCCTTGGCTTTTTGGATTCCCGGATAAGATCGATACAGGGATTGGTCCTGTGTTTGATGAGATCGAGATATGAGAGGATGGTATCGAGGTTGGATTCTCAGTTTTTTGTGATACAAGACTTTCGGAGCAGGACACAGAAGATGGTTTTTGCGAAGTCAAGGTATCATTCAGTTTGGTTGGGCTCGACTGTGACATGATTACTATAGATGAAAGTTTGGATTGATAATTTTGTGGGGTTAAGATGGATAAAAGGCGAAGAAGAAAGAAAGAGGAAGTTTCTCAAGAGTATGTTGTAGAGTCAATAAGTGAAGTCTTTTACTTATCAGTTGGACGCAGCGAGAGCAACACATTCAGCATGAGTAGTGACCAGTCCGAACTACATCAACCAATCGGGATGATACTTAAGATCGGTGTCAAGGTTGTACTTATTTACATAATAACACTTGTAACCTTAACTACATTAAAATACGTAAAAGGCCCTGGAGAGTGCTTGGGAACCACTCTATCACTTATCTCTAGGTACATAACACTAGACATACTCTAGGAGACCTTAAGATCCTAGCCGGCCTAAAAAGACCAGCGGAAACAGCCCTTTAAAGTGAGATGTGTTAGGGAAGTTTTACGCATAACATTTTTTAAACTAATTTTTTTGTTTTCTCAAAGAAATATTTATCAAGGATTCGATCAAAAAAGGAAAGAAGGAAATAGATATCAAGGATTGATTGATTGAATGAATGATGAATAAAATCAAAACCCAAAATTTAATGACAAGTTCGACTACTTTCTTATTACTCAAAGCTCAATCAACTTATCATCATCAACATTTCTTATTCTCAGGATTTCATTCTCAATCAAAACATTCAAATCAACCATCATCACTACCAGAACCACCAGAACCACCACAAGAAGATCCTGAGAAACCAACTCATCCTTCTCGATCAGAAACATCAGAATCAAGTTCATCATCCCAACCCACTTTCTCACCAACCGATCAACCTCAAAGACCATCAATCCCTTCTAAACCAAATGAAATACCAATCTCCAAGTTCCGATCCCAACTCACAGAGTTCTCACACAAAAAACTACACCCATTCCAAACTTTACTGCAGCACCAACTGAAGACGAAAAAACAACAACTTTCCAACGAATTATCATTACTACCTAACAAATTATCAAAATTGACTGGATATGGTGAAATAGATGAATTAAAATTAATCGTATCTAAAAAAGAAACCGATTTGAAATCCTTTAGACAAAAAGCTTTAGAAATGAAAAAGTTTTATAAGAAAGCGGTCGAATGTAGGTCTGAAAGTGTTAGAGAAGTTAATGATTTGTTGGCTCGTAAGGCAAGTTGGTCAGTTTTTTAAAACTTGATCCATTCTATCTTTTCCAAAGAAAAAAAGGTTTGGATCGATTAATGATGTGTGTTTTTTTGGGGGTTGGGTTGGGTTGGGTTGGACGGTGCTGGGATCGGATTTAATTTTAGGTCAGATGGTGATCTTGCTAGATTTACTACTCTTGTTAGAACGGATCATTCGAATGAACAAGAAGAATTGAAAGCTAAAAACTTATTAGAAGAAGCTGAAGCCAAAGTCGATCAAGAATTCACAGGTCAGTCTAAGATTCGAATTCTTTTCAAAAAAAAACGTTGGTTGGGGTTTGTAAAACCATCGGTTTAATAAGAATTTGATTTTTTTTAGGTCTTATGCAAGCTATTCTTAGTAGATATCATGAAGAACAAGTTTGGTCTGATAAGGTTCAAGACAATTTTGGTTTTGATTTTTTTGGTTTACCACAAAGTTTCTTGTGACTGATTTTGGTTTATTTATTTAAATTAGATTCGATCATTATCTACCACATTCTCTTTATCAATCACTCTTATCAACGTTCTTGTCTTTCTAGCTGCAATTGTTTTGGTTGAACCATACAAACGTGCCAAAGTAGTCGAAGGAGTCGAGAATAGGTAACTTGACTTTCTTTATCAATCATAGAATACTTAACTGAAGGGTTTTTGTTTTGGATGGGTTTCTTTAGAATCATGGCGAGGGATGAAGCTAAAACTGATTTAATGGAAGAAGCACTTAAAGAAGTTACCAAACAATTACAAGAAACTGATTTAAAGCTTTTAACGGTTTTAGAAAGACTTGAAAAAGAAAGTCAAGTGACAGAAATTGTAGAAGAAGTGAAAGAAGAACCGATGATTGATTATAGATTGATTGAACCTACTTTTGAAGAAGAAACCATAGAAATCGAGACAACCATAAATGATGTTGATGAATTTCGATCCACTAGAAGTATGATAGATCAAGAAGAGGTGATAGGAAGAGAAGAAAGTGATGGATCTAAAGAAGATGAAAAGAGGGATGGGTTTGGAATGAAAAGATGGTGGGTTAAGAAGTATGAGGAATTTCAGTCGGATCCTGAGTTGAGTAAACAGGTTGAGATTGGTGCTGGATTGAGTTTGGCGGTTCTTTTGATTGGAATGATTCATTTGTATTCTTCTAAATGAAATACTTGATCTGATTTGGATATCATATCAACTTGGTGATAGGTTAATTTTGGGTGGGATGAGGTTGGGTTGATGATGCATTTAGATGTGTAGCTTTGTTCTTGGTCATATAGCTTACTAGAAAACAAACCAAATCCCAATGATTTGAAAGTATACCTTGTGATTGAATATTATATTTGTTTGATGAATACCAATGACCCAGGTTACTAGAGTGATGAGTTTTGAGAGCTCCAATCCGATGCTTGGTTAAGGGTTTATGGAAACAGTGGAGTTGCGAGGTGAACCAGGTTTCAGTTAGATTGAGAGATTTAATTCCGAAAAATTTAAATCGGACTTAATCCAAATCAAATTATCACTTTGAGAAACTACTCAAGAACTAGAAAGAACTAAAGACCATGTCAAAACAAGAACAAGAACAAGAAGAAGAAGTCAAAGTCTTAATCTTATACTCTAGTTTATCAAACACAACTAAATCATTATCATTTCAACTTCAAAACTCAATCAATCTCACTTCATCAACCACTTCCAAACCAAGAATTCATTCTTTACACGATTTCGATTTAGATCAAATCATCTTAACTACTTCAAATACTATCATTCTCTTTGCTTTACCTTCTTACAATGTAGAATCACCAGTAGATTCAATCTTGGCTCAATTCAAAGATTCACTTTATGATTTTAGATTTTCGAAAGATAGTTTAAACCAAATTGCTTATGGAGTGATTGGAATTGGACATATAGATTATGGACAAGAGTTTTGTAAACAAGCGATCGAATTGGATTTTATTTTGGATTCTTTGGGGGCTAAGAGAGTGATTGAGTTGGTTAAGATTGATGTTTCGGTGGATCCTGAACTTCAATTAGGTCAACTGGTAGATCAAATCAATCAAAACTTTTCGAACAAATCATTTAAATCGGTATCTGAACTTGAAATCATTCCGATCGAAGCTTTATCATTAAAGAACAGTGAATTGAATTTAATTGATGATGAAGAGTATGATTCAGATGATGATTATGTAGAATACGATCAAGATCGGATTTCAAAACCTTTATCGAAACTAGAACTAGCCAAACGGAAATCAAAAGCTAAACAAAAGAATCACTCAAGCGCCCAAAAAGATGATGGAGCAGATATAGAAGACTTAGGTGTTGGCATACCTCAATCTTCTACGGATGAACTTTCAATCCTACCTAATCATCAAGTCGTTACACAAGATCTTCGGAAAGAGATGATCAGTCCGATGACTCGGAAAAGTTTAACTAAACAAGGTTATGCGATTGTTGGATCTCATAGTGCAGTGAAAACTTGTAGATGGACTAAAGCAAGTTTAAGAGGAAGAGGGTTTTGTTACAAACACACTTTTTATGGTTAGTCTCCTCTGAATCGCTTTTTTGAGTCAAGTTGATCGGTTTTTTTAATTTATGATGTTTTTGTTTTTCTAGGAATTCAATCCCATCGATGTATGGAAGCTACACCTTCATTAGCATGTGCCAATAAAGTATAAACCTTTTCTTCACATCTTGGCTTTTGGTCTTGAGTCTATTCAAACTGATCCATGAATCTCTTTATGTAGTGTACATTTTGTTGGAGAGCTCATACGAATCCAGTAGGAACTTCATGGCGTTGGAAGACAGATGATGCTGAGTTTGTAATAGAAGAAAGTTTAAAAGAACATGATCGACGTGAGTGATGGGATTTCTGTATCTTAAACTTTATACTGACTGACTAGATGATGTTTTACATAAAGTTATTAAACAATTGTTAGGAATGCCGGGCGTTCGACCGGATCGGTTCTTGGAAGCTAGAACTCCAAAACATGCGGCTCTTAGTTTGGTAGGAGAACCAGTGATGTATCGTGAGTGTGGATGGAAGTTCAAACTGATCAAGAAGGTCACATCTAATCTGATTACAAGCTTTTTGAACTCCTTGATCTAGCACATATCAAGAAATATATCGAGCTTTTGACTGAAAAAAGAATTTCGACTTTCTTAGTAGTAAGTCTCTATTCACCAAGCTCTTCATCCAAAAAAAAAAGTTTTATAAATCAAATCTAATTCGATTCTTTTTTCATTCGTTCAAATCCAAGACCAATGCACAATTTCCAGATTCATTAAAAGATTTACCACCTGTTACTCAATTATATTTATCAATAGATGCAGGTAACAAAAGTTCATTGAAATCGATAGATAGACCATTACATCGAGATTTTTGGGAAAGGTTTTTGGAATCGATTGAGATTGTTAAAGGTATGAAGAAGACTAGGACGATCTTTCGATTGACATTGGTTAAGGGAGAGAATAGTGAAGAGATATTGGATTATGTTGAATTGATTAAACGTGGTCGACCTGATTTTATTGAAGTTAAAGGAGTATGTGATTGGTTTTTTCGACTTTTAAGATGTTTTTTCTTTTCTCAAGTTATTTAAACAAACACTTTTTTCTAACTTTTTTTTTTTTCGGGGATTAGGTTACGTATTGTGGTTATGCACCTTCATCTAATCTAACGATTAAAAATTCACCATTTCATGAAGAAGTCGTCAACTTTGTTCAAGCTTTGTGTTATGAATTAAATTCTACTACAGATGATCCTAATCTTCAATACGATCTTGCTTCAGAACATGCTCATTCTTGTTGTGTATTAGCAGCTCATCAAAAGTATCGGATTGATGATCAATGGCATACATGGATCGATTATGAACGTAAGTGGATTTTGACTATTTTTTGATTCTTTTGGGTGGAAGGATGACGATGTGGTTTTTTTTTTGATAGGCTTTTTTGATTTGGTTGAAGAAGGAAAAGAGTTTGATGGAACGGATTATATGGCTCTTACACCTGATTTCGCTGTCTTTGGTGCTCCTGAAGCTGGCTTTTCTCCTGAAGATGTGAGATGGTTTAGGAAAGGTAAAGGACCTAAAGAATCTGAAGCTGAAGCACAAGAAGCAGAAGAAGAAGAAACGATTGGGGGAAAATAAGTCTTCATGGAAAAGTTTGTTGGGATAGATTGGATTTCGTTTTGTTTCTTTTTGGAATGGAATGGATTTTCAGTGGGTTTCATCAATTAGGGTGTAGGTCTTGTTGGAAGCTTTTTACATAACGTACATAGAAAGAAAACAGTTTGTTTGTTGTTTTGTTGTTTGTTGTTTGTCATGATCATGTGTTGTTGGTTAAGTTTAGTCATAAGAAGTATATATATATATATATATCATTTTTTTATTGTGTTCACTTTGATAAGATTAGGAAGTATTGGAATTCACAAAATTATATCACGATGTTCTTGGCATTTGATTTTAAGGAAGATATCATGATGAATTCATTAACTTGAGTGTTTGAGTAGTTTTCAAGGTTTTTAGGAAACGTCAAAGTGATGATCAAATTCACAAATTAAAGTGTACAAAAAAATCAAAACTGATCATCACAAAAAGCAATACTTTGTGCTTTCTTTTGAATTAAAAAAAATTATGAACAAACTTTTTACAAGTCTCATCATGAAGTTTTACATTGGAATAGGTGATTTTTGAATGTCAGTCAGTTCAAGAAACCATTAGGATTTGTGGTCAGGGTCACAGAGTAAGAGGCCTCTATGTATGCACTCGTAAGTCGAGTTTCAACACTTTAGTACATCTCTTTTTTCAATGAAGTATGATTCGAGTTGAACTATGTAATCATGAAGTTCAACCTAAACTACTTAGGCCTACTCCATGAAATCAATAAATCTTAAATTGAAGATCTCAAACCCTCACCCAAAAAAATAATTAGGTAGAACACATCAAGAAAGACGAGCAAGCGATTTAATAAACGGTAGATATTAATAAACGATCCAAAAGATCATCTTTCATCAAGTTTTCTTCAACATACAAAGTCGAGAGATTCTTTAATAATGTGCTGTACATACAAATCAAATCAACGAAAAATGTCTATAAATGAGATTATGATATTGCGTTAAAGAAATATTTACAAATATTGATCTAAATATATACTTTTTCACCACACGCCCACATACACTTCTTGATAAATCTACAAGACCCAATGTACCAGACCTCCAAATCCCTACAAACCAATCAAACGAGCAATCAATCTATCCAAAACCCAAAAAGATCTACTTCACACAATCACTCCATGCAGATCTTACCGATCAGCAACGCATTCAATCCTTCACCCTTCCTAACATTTTTTCGATCAGAACTTCCAATCGGTAATCTCAAGAATCCATTCACACCAGCTAAAGAGATGGAAGAACTACTTCTTTGAAACCCATTTGAACTAGCCAATAGTTTGTTTTCAGTGGGATCAAATCGGATTCGTACCCTACAAAACTCTTCTCTTTGGTCATCTAATTGGAAATCATGTTCAAGCTTTTTGTCCCCCCCCCCCAAAAAAACAAAACCATTAAACCTTTGATTGGTAATGAAGCGATCAAAAAGATAACACTCAACTTCAACTGGAACCCATGATCCTTTCCAATCCGATTCTCTGTACCCTTCCATCTTCCTCAAAGAAGCCTTGACCAACAAATGAAACGTAACAAACGCACTAGCCGGGTTTCCAGGCAATCCAAAGACCAAGACTTCATGTTGATCGATCGGAGAAAGAACGGTAGCCAAGACCGTCGGTTTGCCGGGTTTGATGGCTATCCTACCAAACCATATCTTTGCCTTCAAGTCTTCTACCAAGACATCCTTTAAATGATCTGTATCTCCCATCGATGTTGAACCGGTACAGATAATCATGTTTAAGGAAATCGATTCAGGTCGGTTTAAGACTGATCGAAAGGTTTCTAAAAGTTTAGTTCGATCACATCCAACGATACCTAAGTCGATCAGATTCGTATCATGTTGAGACTTAAGTGAAGTGATCAAACTAGGACGATTAGAATCCATAACTTTTCCTTTCGTTATCCATTCTTCTTCCACTACTTGGTTTGGTTCAATCAGCTCATCACCCGTCGAAAGGATCGCCACGGTACTCTGACTACCTACGCAAACTTCTTGAATTCCATTACTTACCAATGTGGCTATCTCGCCTCCGGTCTCACTCATCATGGTTCCTTTTTCTAAAACTAAATCTCCTGATCTTACATCACTTCCAATCTCTCTGACATGTTGTCCTTTGGAAACATCTATCAAGCTTCGGATCTCTTCTTCTTCTGCTAAGGTGGTGGTTTCTGAGCCTGGTGTAACTACTTCGGTATCTTCAATCATGATCACTGAATCGGTTCCATCCGGTAACCCACCACCTGTGTTAATCTTGTAAACCGATCCTTTAGGAACCGTACCCAACTCATGAAACTCTTGAATAGAAACCACATGATAAATTCCTTTGCTAGCAAAACCTATGATCCGAACCAGAAATATTCCGATGAGTTAATTCGAATTTATAAAAGAAACTAAAAGATGAATAAGACAAACTGCTATGGATCGCATATCCATCCACATTACTGGAAGGATGAGCAGGTAAATCATAAGGAGCATAAATGTCTTTCATCAAGACTCGGTTGATCAGTTTAGGATCGGTGGGATGAAGTCTTTGGATAGGTAAAACTGAGGTGTGTTGGAAGATTAGTGAATAGGCTTCGGCTAATGAGATGATGGGCCATTGTGATTTTCTGATTCTGGGATCTGGCACCGGGGTTCAGAGTGATATGGTTAGTTGGATTCTGTTACTGATGGGGTTTGGAGATGGGTGGAAGATTTACGTTTGGGAGATGGATTGGATGGGTGAGGATTGGTATTTTGTTCATTTTGTGGATTTGGATTGGATGTGATTTGATGATGATGATGATGAGTGTGTTGATGAGTAGTAGGTTGAGTTTGTTGTTGTTGTTGTCTATGAATCTCTTGATGAGCCAACTTAGATTTATTACCTTTAATCAATTCCAAAGCATGAGGCAAGATGATTTCTAAAGCATTCAAATGAGTAATCAAAGCCACTGGAGAACCAGGTAAGGATACAATCAACGTAGAAGATCTGATCCCCGCAATCGGATTGGATAGTGCAGCAAAAGGAGTTTGGGATAGAGATGTTGAGAGTAGATGGTGAATTAGGCCGTCTAGTTTTCGGTCTAGTAATGGTTCGATTGTCTGTGTGGAAATAAGAGATGAGATATTAGAATTTGATTGGTTAGATAGTGAAGAGAGTGAATGGTTACTTGATTAGTTTGATCAGATGGATGTAAACCTGTTCCACCAGAAGTGATGATCAGATCTGAATGATGAGTGTTGATGAGTTGTAGAATAGAATGTTTGATTTGGATTGGATGATCAGGTATGATGAGATGATTGATGAGATGATAGATTTTGGGTTGGTTTGATAAGAATGAAGATTGAATGATTTGATGAACTGATTGATTTGGATTGGATGATGTTGATGATGAGATGGAATCTGATACTGTTGAACAGATAGAATAGTCAGTTAGTTTTCTGGTTGATAGTTTGATTGGTTTGATGCTTAACTTGTGATGAAGCCTACTTTATACATTTTGATCGAGAGTCAATGAGAACTGAGAATGCGATTGAGAGTAATCAAAGTGATCGAATTGAAATAGTCTATCTAATACCATACTCAAAACCCATCATTCAATCTATTCTCACTTGAAATGAAATACTCAAATATTAAATCACACCAAATCAAAAATATCAAACCGATCAAATCAAAATCAAGAGAATGAAAACAAATTGAAAGGAAATCAAAGACATCAAAGAAATTGAACAAGATGTTAGGAATGATTTTAGAATTGATTCAATCAATCTATAATATCATCACTTCAATCTATTCAATCTTAATCTATTTACTTTCATTTACTACCATCAAACTATTCAACATACTACATTGGTCTGGTAACTATCTCAATCAAATCAATCACCATCTAAATCAAACTAATCATACTAATCATCATTTTCTTTTTTGATAGGTTTCATCTCAGTCGAAATCAACTTTCAAAAACTATTAATCTTATTCTTTCTCTTAGCCTTCATCTCTTCATGGACATACAAACTAAAAGTACTCAACAAATATTCATTCTTACCCAAACCTTCAAAACTAAATCAAACAAATCAAATCCAACTAGATCATCTCAATCCAAACTTGCTCGTAAACCAAAACCAATCTTTTTCGGCTCATGATGAATTTCATAATTATTTAGATGAATTCTTATCGGCTATTAGAGTGTTTGGGTTTCTAGAAAAACCTGTGTTTCATGAACTGGCTCGGCATCTTCAAACCCGTAGATTATTGGCGGGTGATACGTTGAGTTTGGATGAAGATAAATCGTTTTATATTGTGATTGATGGTCATGTGGAAGTCTTTGCTAGATCTAATAATCATGCTTCTACTTTACCCCATCATCCTTCTTCATTACCAAATCAATCTCATCAACAGCGACATTCGACCTATGATCATTCTTTGGCTTATGATCATGAAGATCATAATGGATTTCAACTCTTGAATGTGGTCGAATCGGGTGGTACTCTTAGTTCTTTATTCACCATCTTGAGTTTGTTTACTGAAGATGTTAAATTAAGGTATGAAGATGATGATGAAGATGAACATCAACTTAAACCGAGTCCAATGATTCGAACTACTTCACTTCAAGCTCATCCTCATCAGCCTCATCCTTCATCGGATTCGATCGGTTCTTTCAACTCTCAACTTTCGCCTACTTTTCATTCGGATCCAAGTCCGAGATCTAAACCTAATCGATCAGTCACTCTTACTTCACCTATCAGTTCTGAACCTCAACTTTCGACTTCATTCGAATCAGAAACCACTCTCACTTCATCTCATCTAACGTTTGATGAACCTGATCCAGAAAATGATGATGATGAAATACTCGAAGAAGAAGACGATGATGCAAGGTCTACGAAAACCAGTCGGACTTCACGGAACCCTCTGAGTACGACCATCGAACCTTTATTAGAAGATCTGCCATTTGAATCCTCTTTTTCTTCAAATCATAATCGAGTCAGACAACCTACTGCTCAATCTTCCGCAGCTTCACGTCAACCCAAACATCGATCCACCGCTGAACGTCTAGGAGCTCAACCACGTGAATCGACGATTGCACGTGCCACGACTGATACCACTTTGGCCGTCATCCCTTCAGAAGCATTCAAACGACTTACATCCAAGTTTCCAAATGCAGTAGCACATATCTTACAAGTCATCCTCACACGACTTCAACGGGTCACTTTTCTAACCTCTCATCAATACCTGGGTCTAACTAAAGAGCTTTTGAGAACTGAAAAAGCTTTTAACGAATTAGCATGTTATCCACTTCCAGCTCGGTTTTATGAAGAAGGTGGAATGGTAAGGCTTCGTCAAAGGTTTTTACCTCAGACTAAATTAGTGGATGAACCTAGTCAATCGACAAGACATCAAGATTATTTTGGATTCGATCCTATCAATACTCGTCCTTCTTTAAATCTACGTAAAGCTAAGGATTTGAATGATGCTGCTCTTAGATTGAAACCCCCTCATTCACCTTTACGTGATCCGACGCCCAAGTCTCCAAAAGAATCTCATAAATCTCATATTACGTTTGATTTGGGATCTTCACCTATTTCAGTTCCGATCGGTTCTACTAATAATTTACATGAAGATCTCGAATTGAGGCAAACGGTGATGAGTTGTATTGCGAAATCTATTGGACTAGTACAACATCATCGTCATCAGAGCGAAAGTTCAAATCTACCTGGAGGTTCATCTGTTTCTGATTTTTATCGAGCCAACTCTCCTGAACCTTCGTTCCGAGCTTCTTCTTCTTCTCATCATCATCCACATCAACAACAACAAGTACCTCAACGACCTGGTTTCAGATCAGGACTCGGTTCGTTATCGTATCTTAAAACCATGGGCGGTGGACGAGAAGATAGTAGGAGTTCTATTGCCTCTTCTTCGGTGAATATCGATTCAGAATCACCTGCTGATGATCCTGATGGTGAAGAATTACCTAATGAAGTGGAAATCTTATTTTTCCATCAAGACTCTACACTTGTGAAAGCAGGTGAAAGGAATGCAGGACTGTATTTTGTGATTGATGGGTTCTTGGATGTGTTTATGCCGGTGGATGAAGAAGAAGATTTATCGTCGGCTAATAATAAACCGACAAAAGTTTATCAGAATAAGAATCGATCGGATCCTATCAAGGAAGGATTCGTACCGCCTCTTGGTACGAAACGGACTGGAAGTCGGAAACCTAATGAACAGCTTCGTCAACGGATCAGTACTGGTAAATCGAATGAAGGAAGAAGAAGACCGATCTCGACTTTGAATCCGAAAGAGTTTAAGCCAGAACCAGAACCGATGAACGAGTTACCAAGCAAACCTGCACCAATCAAACTCTTTAGTATTAAACCGGGAGGGATTGCAGGTTATTTGGCTTCGATCTCGGGGTTCCCTTCGTATGTTGATATTAAAGCTAAGACTGATGTGTATGTTGGGTTCTTGCCTGCGAGAGCTTTGGAAAGTATTATGGATCGGAAACCGATTGTTTTGTTGACGTTGGCTAAGAGGTTGATTAGTCTTTTGTCTCCACTTAGTGAGTTTTCGATTTTCAGGTTGAGATTCTTGTTTGACTTGGACATTGATTTGATTTTTGATTTTTTAGTGTTACATATTGATTCAGCTTTAGAATGGATGGCAGTTGATGCAGGACAAATTATTTATCGTGAAGGAGATAAGAGTGATAATCTATATATTGTGATTGGAGGTAGATTACGATCGATCTCTGAAAGAATAGAAGGAGGACTTGAGATCTTAGGGGAATATGGACAAGGCGAAAGTATAGGAGAATTAGATTGTATTACGCATACCTTAAGAAGATCTACCTTACATGCGATACGTGATAGTGAGCTGGTTAGGATTCCAATGACCCTCTTTAATGCGATTTCGATTCGACATCCGGCTATTACTATTCAGGTTTCTAGGTTGATTGCTTCAAGGGTTCGGAAAGAGATTGATGCATCTAGATCGAATTCTTTGAAAAGTTTATCGAACCATCATCATCATCATTCATCATCTAAAAACCCAGTGTTGTTAAGTAATAGTATTTCAGGAGGAGGAGTTCAAAACAACTTTAATTTGAAAACGGTGGCGATTATTCCTAATCGATCGGAAGTCGATATTATTGAGTTTTCGAATCGTTTGAACTTTGCTCTCGAATCGATTAATGCTAAAACTGAACTTTTGAATCAGTCGACAATCTTGTCTGTCTTGGGTCGTCATGCTTTTAGTAGATTGGGTAAGTTGAAGTTGACCGGTTACTTGGCGGAACTCGAACAGACTTTTAGGATCGTGCTTTATGTGGCTGATACGGCGGTTAATGCGCCTTGGACTCAGACTTGTATTAAACAGGTTTGTTTTGATTTCTATCTTTGATTTTTGATTTGGTTTCTGATTTTTGTTATTGAATCAATAGGCAGATTATGTTTTGTTGGTTTGTGATGGTGGATCTCAACCTGAGTTGGGAGAATATGAACGTTTGTTGATCGGGATGAAAACGACGGCTCGTAAAGAATTAGTCTTACTACATCCTGATCGAAACGTACCTGCAGGTTCAACCAGACCTTGGTTAAAGGTATCTTGAAAATCCGCCAAAAAAATCATGTGATGATTTATTAAAGCTAATCTATTACTTTATTTTTTTCTTGGGGGGATGTGATAGAATCGACCTTGGATTCATGCGCATCATCATGTTCAACTTGCAGGAGCCACACCATTAGCAGATAATCATTTAGATGAGATGTTACCGGTCACAGCACTAAGAGAGTTTAAAGAAAGAGTCCGATTACAAATCTCAAAGTATGCAAGACTTCGATCGAAATTAAAAGCCGAACCAGTGAATGTGACAGGCACTGATGATTTTGCAAGACTAGCTAGAAGGTTATGTGGCAAATCGATTGGAGTGGTCTTGGGAGGAGGAGGAGCCAGAGGGATTAGTCATATTGGAGTCATTAGAGCTTTGAGTGAGATTGGAATGCCGATCGATATGATTGGTGGAACGTCGATTGGAAGCTTTATTGGTGGACTTTATGCTAGGAATTCGGATTTGATTTCGACATTGGGTAGAGCAAAGGTCTTTAGTGGTCGGATGGCTACTTTGTGGAGAATCTTGACGGATATCACTTACCCTGTGGTGGCTTATACTACGGGTCATGAGTTTAATAGAGGGATTTATAAATCGTTTTATGATTATCATATTGAGGTATGTGGGGATTTTGGATTTTGGGATGATCATCATAAGTGATTGACTTGGATTTTTCTTGTTGAATTTTTTTTTTTTGTTGAGGATAGGATTTTTGGGTAAGTGGTTTTTTTTTGGATTATGTTTAAGATTCGAAAATCGATTGAACTTGTTTGTTTTTATAATGATAGTTACCATTTTGGGCTAATACTACTAATATAACTTGGTCAAGAATGGAAGTCCATACAACTGGTTAGTCATCATTGAATTGATTTATTTTTTTCGGAAATGGAGTTTGAAGATAAATGATCATGAAACGTGAATGTGTGTGGTTGTTTTTACTTTAGGATATGCTTGGAGGTATATTAGGGCTTCTATGTCTTTGGCTGGGTTGTTACCACCGCTTTGTGATGATGGAGATATGTTGGTAGATGGAGGGTCAGTCTTTTTAGGATCCATGTCTCTTCACTTCATGATGGGAAACTTATTTCCGTGTGATTGGATGTGAGAATAGGTACATTGACAATTTACCGGTAAGTGTTTTTCTCCAGCTTTTTGGGTCAAGTGAAATGTTAAAGTGAATGAATCAAATAGGTTTCAGTGATGTTGAGGATGGGAGCCGATTCGATCTTTGCAGTTGATGTAGGATCGATTGATGATACTTCACCTAGAAACTTTCCTGAATCACTTTCAGGTTGGTGGTTATTGATTAGTCGAATGAATCCTTGGTCAGAAAACCATCGAATACCAGTAAGTTTGGGAAAAAAAATGATGTGTATATGTTGTTTAAGAGGAAGAAGGAAGATTGATGGAACTTTTTGCTTGGGTATATTACAGACTATGACAGATATTCAAAGTCGATTGACTTAGTTGAGTGTTTTAATTTGATTTGAAATGATGAAAAATTGTTGATGGTTTGATGGTTTTTCTGTAGTGTTTCGAGTGTGAAGACTTTAGAAGAAGCTAAGGCGACACCAGGAGTACTTTATATGAGGATGCCAGTAAGTGAAGATTCAGACATGAAAAAGAAATTCAATATTGATTTAGAGTTTTTGTTTTGTTTGGTTTTGTTTGGTTTCATTTAATGAAGGTAACTGAATATACTACTATGGATTTTGGAAAGTTTGAAGTGATTTGTCAAAAAGGATATGAAGCGGCAAAGGAGATGTTAAAGGAATGGAAAGAGATGGGAGCTTTACCTGATGGATTAGAAAGGAAATCTAATGAGATGAATCGATTGGATGGACAGCTTAGAGAGAATGAAAGGAAAAGGTTGATGGTTAGAAGGAATAGTGTTTGAAAGATCAGAATGTGATGGGGTTTGAATTTTCTTTCTTATTTTTCTTTCCTGTTTGATTTCATTCTATGGAGGGCAAGGTGGTTTGAGGACTTTTCTTTGATTGTTTGTATCATGATGGAGTTTTTCTCGTGAGTTTGGTACATCACATAGGTGCATATATATCTTCAAAGGCATTTCATGGTATTGGTATGGCATTTTAGATCTTGGTTTTTGTGGTTTGTGTTATGAAGTTCACATGTGTGTAATGTTGTTGTGTCTTCATGTTATATGCTAATGCATTTCTCTCTGTCATAATATCTCTATAACCTATTAGCATAAGTTACTTTATATATTGTATCCAGATTTGTTAGTAAGATTGGTCTTCTTCACCTTTCTATTATATTCTAACATTTCTATCAAGCTGTGAGATTCCATCTTATCAGGTTATGAGCACCATCTCGCATCAATTATAAGATAAATCAGCTCGAAGACAGGTTTTTAAGGTTGATTACCTTTTGAAAACCGTCTAGAAAACCAAACTGGAAAGGCCTGTCTGTATAAATAGACGATAAACTCAAGTTGATCAACTTAAAAACTCCGAAATCTTAAATCAATAACGTTGTTTTCGGGATTTCTTAGTTCTTCTTATCTAAAGCTCTAATCTTCTCCGATATCATGATCATGTCTGGTCCTACCGCCACAGCTGGTGAAAGGACTAGTTTACCTTCTTCGTCAACTAATACTCAACCTAAATCAATTCGAACTGAATCGATTCGCCCCGAAGTCAAACCGCCAGCTTCTGTATTGTATAATAACAAACGATTAGAAGCTACGGTTGTGAAACCATTGGAAGCACCCGGTGAAAACTCGAACTATCATCACTGGCAGTTTGTGGTGGGTACCATCATACGTGGATCAGCTTACGGTTATGTTCTTCGGGAAGTGCAACCATCCCTTACCACTTACCGAAGAACACGATCGTTGTAAAGTCTCTGCTCTCCTACTCTGATACGTTGATCCATCAAACTACGAGTTCTTATCTCCATATCAAGATGATCCCAAGAGTCAATGGAATGCTTTGAGAGAAGCTCATCAGGATGCTTTGTCCGGATCAATTATGTTTTGGTTAAAGAAGCTTGTAACAGCAAAGATGGGTGATACATCTATAACTACCCATCTTGAAACCATGTCCTCTGATTACCAAAGATTCAAGGCATTAGTTACACCTGAAAAACCTCTTACTGCCAATACCGTGTTTGCGACTGCAATCAGTGTGTCTTTAACTTCCGATTGGCAACCCGTTTTGGCTCTGTTACTTCAACGCGACACTGTTTCCTCTACGGCTATCTTGAAGGTCTTACGAGAAGAAGCAACTCATCGTGCAATGTCTTCCAAATCAGTCGAAGTTATAGCATTGATGAAGAATCAAAGTGCAGAAAAAGTTTGTACTCACTGTGGTAAAACAAATCATCTCATTGACGACTGTCAAAGCTTAAAATCAATGATCGAAAAGTACAAGATTTTGAAGGCTGAGAAAGCTGAATCTCAACGTCCAAAGCCACCGACTAAAAGCTCAATCAAAAGAGCCAAAGCTGTGAAATGGGCTGCTGCCAAAGCTTTGGCAGCTTCTTATGCTGAATCCAAATCTGAGAAATCTATCAATATCAATTTGGAAATCTTGTCTGCTGCCGTAGTCAAAACTTGTGTGATGAAAACGAACAAGTGGCTAGTGGATTCTGGAACGTCTCAGTTCATGACTCCGATATCTGATGTCTTAATCAACAAGAAACCTGATGATACCACAATCAGTTTAGCAAATGGTTCCATTGTAAGATTGACTTTCAAAGGAATGACTGCTCTTCCGTTTCACAACTTCAAAAACATAAAATCTCTTTATGTTCCCTGTCTCTCTGAACCTCTTTTATCTGTGTCTAAATTGGCCAATAAGGATATCAGTACGGTATTTAATTGAACTGGTGTTTTGTTTGTCAAAGGATGTAAAGTTTCAGGGGAGGTAATCGGTGCTGGTGAATGAAAAAGAAACTTATATTATCTTAATCATGAGGTAAGTAATAAAGATCCTTTCGACAAATCTTCGAAAGCAGCTGTTTCTGACGTAGATCTATGGCATTGACAATTCAATCATCCAGGATATGCAGCTCTGAAAAGAAAGCTTTCTTTACTTAAAATCAATGTAGATGAAGCTGAACTTTGTAAGTTACAAACTTGTAACATATGTATTCAGGGTAAGATGAGAAGGAGAAACATGTCTAGTCGTGCCGGATGGAGATCAAAGAGTCCGTTATCTGTTATTCATTTGGATGTATCATCATATTCAGTTGTATCTTGCCAAGGCTTTAAATATTTTGTCAGTTTTATTGATGATTACACTAAATTTACATGGGTGTATTTATTGAAAACTAAAGATGAAGTGTTATCAAAATTCAAATTATTTTATAATGAAATGTCGACTAAAGTCAAAAATGTGATAGCTGAGTTGAGAACTGATAACGGAACGGAGTATATAAATGCTGAATTCACTAAGTTTTGTTCTGAGGAAGGAATCCTTCAAACTTCAGGTCCACCTGATTCACCTCAATTAAACGAAGTATCTGAGAGATTCAATAGAACAATCAAAGAAAAAGTTCGATGTTGCTTAATTGAATCAAAACTGCCTGAGAAACTTTGGAGTGATGCTTTGTTATATGCAACAGAGACTTTGAACAACATGCCGACTAGGACTAACGACAAATTTCAAACACCAATTTCTTTACTGGGTATTCATGAACGTCAAGAACATACATTCCATTCCTTTGGATGTCAGGTATGATTTTGTGTTATAAAACCAAATTCGACACTCAAACCAAGAGCTCAACATGCTATTTTTCTTTCTTATTTAATTAATAATGAAGGAGCTATAGTTTGGGATACAGAAAAGAAGTGTGCTTTAAAAGCTACTTCTTTAGTGTTCCTTGACAAAGTTTTCCCTGGACTTCAATCAGAGAATCCTTCCAAGCCAGCGGAAATCAAAATTTTACCATGGCCTTTGTTAGATCAATAAAACACCATTCCTTCCGACATTAACAATCAAGAGTCAGAAGAAATTCTTCCTGATGTAACAACACTTCCATCACAACCTTTAAGAACAAGACGTCAACCTGTTTGATACGGTGAATATGGACGAGCTGCCTTCATTGAATCTGAGAAGGAACCAGCAACTTACAAGCAAGCTAAGAAGTCAGTCAACTGGGATCTTTGGAAGTTGGCTGCTGAAGCTGAAATGAGTTTGTTGGTGGGTAAAGAGACCTGGAAATTGGTTCCTCGCCCGGCTAGAAGGAAAATCATTTGATGCAAATGGATTTTCAAAACGAAAAGGAATGTGGATATGTCAATTGATAAGCTGAAAGCACGTTTAGTAGCATTAGGTTTTTCTCAAATCAAAGGCGTTGATTTCTCTGAAGTGTTTTCTCCAACAAGTCGACAAGAATCTGTAAGACTTTTTCTTAGTCTTATGGCACAAAACGGTTGGAAAGGAGTAGCTGTGGATATCAAAACTGCATTTCTTGACGGTAATTTGGATGAAGAAATTTATATGGAGCGAGCTGAAGGCTTCAAAGATAAAGAACATCCAGATTGGGTTTATAGAATCTTACATTCATTGTATGGATTAAAACAGTCACCTTGACAATGGAACATCAAATTGCATGAATTCCTAATTTCAATTGGATTCATTTGATCACTTCATGATCCATCCTTTTATTACAAGAAGGATGAAAATGGAAAAATCAAAAGTCTTCTAGTAACACATGTTGATGATATAGCAGCAACCGGTACTGAAGCAGAAATCAAGGAATTTTGTTCTTTGATTAAAAATCGTTTCGAAATCCCTTCGGACAAACCATTATCTCATTTTCTCTCTTTTAACATCTCGAAAGTTGTAGATCAGAAGTTTACTATGGATCAAACTCATTACATATCAAACTTTCATGAAAGACAAGAAAAAGCTTTACAATTCGCCAAACAATGAAAATTTCAAAACATTAATTCTATCAAATGACGACGATATTCTTACAACTGATCCTTATTCAAGTTTGATAGGAGGTTTACTTTGGGTAGCTCAGTGTACGCGGCCAGATGTGGCATTTGTGGTAAATAGGTTATCGCAGTTTTTGAAGAAACCATCAAGAACTCATTGGAATGCAGCGATTAGGGTGTTAGGTTATTTGGTGAAAACAAAGGATTTAAAATTGAATTTGGGTGGAACTGACTTAGTTCCAACAGCTTATTCAGATTCTGATTGGGCAGAAGACAGGCATAAAAGAAGATCTACGACTGGGTACGTTTTTATGTTGGGAAACGGTCCTATCTCATGGAGATTGAGAAAACAAAGGACGACTTCACTTTCAAGCACTGAATCTGAGTACATGGCAATGAGTGATTCTTGTAGAGAAGCTAGGTGGTTGGTATCTTTGTTAAATGAATTGAACATCTCAAAAGGAAAGTCTTTCAAGCTGTGTGTTGATAATGAAGGCGCGGAGGCACTTGCGCAAAATCCATCTCACCATTCTAGAACAAAACATATTCACACAAGGTTTCATTTTGTCCGACAATGTGTAGAGGAAGGCATAGTTAAATTAGTTCCTGTTTCATCATCAAAGATGCTGGCTGATATGTTCACGAAGGGTTTATCAAAAGTTTTACTAATAAAACATTGATTGTCTTTAAATGTCTTTTAAAAATCATGTCATTAGCACGGGCCACGGGGGGGTGTTATGAAGTTCACATGTGTGTAATGTTGTTGTGTCTTCATGTTATATGCTAATGCATTCCTCTCTGTCATAATACAGCTGTTTCAACAAAGATTGTTTTTTTTTTTGAAAATCTTGCCAATGTGCAAAACCCGGGTTTTGTCCTGTTTTGTCCCTCACCCAATTTTGTCTCTCCGCTAATTGGAGGAATGCAGAAAAGAATAAACCTGTAAATCGAGTTTTGTCTCTGGTTTTACCCGCTGCGGAGACAAC